CAACCGCTGACGACAAAGAGAATGTAGACATATGAACACGGACAAACGAAGACTTAATCAACACAAATCCACCAAAGACATACATCGACCGGACACCGCGAGATCCGTCGGAGACACACCGCCACACACCCTCCGACGCACCGTTGGGACCAGGGCTAGGCAGGGAGAACCTTATTTCATTTTAAAGAAGCAGTCGCTGTCTCGTTTTCCTTAGCAGGACGCAAACCCTAAACAAACTCGAAAAACACCTAAAAATGATTTATTTATTTTGGAAATGGAGGCATGCCCACGGCCTCTGCATCATGATGATGCATGCAGCCATCTTATTAACAATCCACAAAGTATCGTCATAAAAGTCTTGCAGCTCACAAACGGAGCAGAACAAAGTAAAAAAGCAAAATTACATGCCGACAAAGATAACCGATACGGTAATAAGAAGGATAAGCTCGCTAGACTCCTATCCTGTTATGTGAGCGCCATCCGAACCGGTTGACTATAACCCAAGCTACCATCTCTCATTGGTTGCACCCAGTAACCAAAGGCTCCCTGGATGTCATAGGAGTGAGTAAGGACCACGTACGGATCCAAGCTGTATCGCTGAAGATAACCTGCAAGAAAGTTAAAGTTTGTTGTCCGTTAAAAATCATATCATTCCTGCAGTTCCATATAGCCCATAATAGCGCACATATTCCAATCCGAATACGAGCCGCAGTAATCTGTTCAATCCCAGCTAGCCACGTCACAAACAATGACGCAATATCGACTGGAGGATTAATGTTGAAAGCTATATGAATCGTTCTCCAAAGTAACTTGGGAAGTGGGCATTCAAGAAATAAGTGTTGTATTGTTTCCTCATGATCACAAAAAAACAGCACCGCGAACTTCCTACCCAACGCCTTTTAATTAAGTTGTCCTTTGTGAGTATCACTTGCTTGTGGACAAACCACATAAAAAATTTAATTCGCAAGGGAACCTTAACCTTTCAAATGTGCAACGACCTTGAGAGTGGGCCAGAATTAATCAAATCCATATAGAATGATTTCATCGTAAACATCACATTCTTAGTTAACTTCCATTGTGTCGAATCCGGCTGGTCGGAGAGTTAAACTTCTATCAATCTCCGAACCAAGTGCATCCAGGCGGTCCATCTCTCACCAACTAATGCAAGTCTAAACTGGATGTTCAAGAAATGGTTTGAAGGACTGTGCCTACGTAATCCTCCTTATGTTGCACAATATTATAGAGGGTAGTATATTGGACGGCCAAGGGCGTCCCTCCTAACCACGTATGTTCCCAAAATCTTGTTGACATCCCATTGCCAACCAAGAATTTGACTCTAAGAACAAGTCCTTCGTTCGCATAAGTCCCTTCCAGAATGGCGAGTCAGCCGGTCTCATGGTAACGTGGGCTAATGTTTTCGAGTACAAATACTTATTGCACAGGATTTGAGACCACATACCCTCCGGCTCTGTCTCTAACCTGTATAACCATTTGCTCATAAGACATTTATTCTTAATTTTTAAGTTCTCAATATCGAGACCCCCTTGGTCTTTATGTCTGCAAAGAATATCCCATCGCGCGAGACGGTATTTCCTCTTGGTCTCATCAGACTGCCAAAAGAAACGAGAACACCTAAAAATGATGCATGAGCTCTTTCACCGACAACGACAAAGTTCATCACACCTCTATGCCCATACGGCCACATGAGACCAGACAGATCAGCGGCGACGCGGCAGAAGACATGGAAACCCTAAACGCCTGGGATCTTTTCTTTCTTTCTCGGAAAAATGGATAGCTATTTTACAATCACGTAAAATAGTATCACTGTTACGATGGCTCATACATCATAGTTGGTTGCAGCGCTTCAGCGCACTAATGAAGCTTGTAGCCGGTGTTAACAAGGTTAAGTGAATTCTGCTAAAATCAACTCAACAAGGGACTGGGAACCTGTGCCCTACTTAACTAGCTAGGCCAGATAAAATCTTATCAAATGCTTAAACAATATTTTTACACAACTAATTATATAAATACTTGCACGTTACATAATATACACGTCACTCTTAGAAATCTATAAACTTAATTAAGAGAAAAGGCGGAAAACTAATTAATATACTAAAAAAATAAACCCATGGTCCGGCCTCATATAAAAAATGATCCAAATGATAAGTGTCATACGTGTGGCACAAAGCAGTCCGAAGTTATTTACAACTAAAGTTGTCGTCCAAAAAGAAAAACAAACAAAAAAACTAAAACTTAGTATCCGAAAAGGAAGTTCCCATTCTTGACAAATAAGTTGCTATCCTCTCGTCACTAAATTTGCCAATAAAAACCATTAGAGTTGCCATGTGTTCATGCCACACTTGTGGGACTTATCATGATAAAAAAATATTGAATTACCATGATGACGTGTAGTGTATGAAATGTGTTCTGGGCTGTGGGCCAACAGTTGGTTCTCCAATTAAAGCATTCTTGCGATATGCATTGGTGTGCATGGGCAAGACACAGACTAAATGACAAAAGGCACACAAAAGGCACACAGATTTTTGGAACATGGTTCCACGCTTACCCATTTTTAAAAGTAAAATCCAAGAATGATATAAAAAACAGACAGTTCTGAATTATTTGTATGCTGAAGTAATTTGGAGATCCGTTTTTTTTCTGTAAAGAATATCACGGGTGTTATTTCTTCGCCAAACTTAACATGTGAATAGAACAATCGATCAAGTTTGGTAACCTTAAATTTTGTACTTGTTGAATTGTTTTGATATTTTTTATTTCACTATGTATGGTGGATGTGTGGAACAATATTCACCATTGTATTTCGAGATCCTAACATTTAAATAATTTAGATGACGTGACCTAACATGGTGTCTCTCTGAGTGCCTCCAGTTACTAGATATACAAAATATACTATGGAGAATATTTTTGGGTGGCCCGCTGAAAGGGAACAACGTACTATATGAAAGAGATGCATATGTTAGAATTTTCAAACCTCTAAATAACATCTGCCGTCCGATCGAAAGGACTTCTAGAAGAAAAAATCTTAATAAATGAACACATTATTTGTGGCACAATAATGAAAGTGACAGTTACAATATACGATGAATTTTGTATTCAGTGTTCCTGTGTGCCTCCAGTACTATATGCGTATAGCATTTAGGGGCCTCTCCTGTTCTAATTCTTATATAAAGCCAACCAGTTCACAAGGCATGCATCACTACCGTTAGCATTATCATAGAGCAGTGATCAGCTCAGCTCGATTGTTCTCCAGGAATGGCATCGTCCATGGAGACTCGCCGTCGCCCACACCCGCTACCTGTGATGAACAACAACCAGCGCAGCCACCACTTGCACCACCCCAACGTCTGGGGGGACTTCTTCCTTGATTTTAGGCCATTCACTCCGACGCAGGTGAACTAAATTTAATTAGCACACACACCAGTGTTTTACATTCTTGTTGGAGGCTGGCATCAAATGAACCAGCCCAGTCCTACTTCCGTTGCCCAACTCTTAGTAGATGTCATTTTGCAATATGTATAAGTTAAACAAACAAAGGTTTAATGGGCAATATAACACACATCTGAAGTATGTTTTTGTTGAAACTTATTATCATGCAAAATGGACTGTCCAAGCTTAACCTCGGACACGTGCAGGTGTAATATATATCTAAGACAACACGTAGCTGAACACCAAGTAAGTACTAATGTTACATGCTCTTGCAGTGTCTTTCCATGAAAAACAAGGCTGAAGTAATGAAAGAAGAGCTGAGGACGATGATAGTAGATTCGGGTTCTGTTGATCTTCCTCGGAAGCTTGAGCTTGTCGATACTTTACAGCAGCTTGGTTTGGACTACCACTATGGGAAGGAGATCAATGATTTGCTGTGTGGGATTCATGATGCCGGCGATGAAGCCCGCGATCTTCACACGGTGGCCCTTCGGTTCTATTTACTCAGGAAACAGGGATTCAATGCTTCACCAGGTATAAGTATAACAAACATAATTAGAATCTCAAAGATGTACGAAGGTGATATTTTCTAGAAACATTTGTCCTAATAGAACCATGTACTATACATGACAACACCGCAGATGTATTCCTCAAGTTCATAGATGCCAAAGGAAAGATTATCTGCAATGACACAAAAAGCCTCTTGGCATTGTACAACGCTGCCCATGTTCGAACCCATGGTGAAGAAACACTCAGCAGCGCGATCGCTTACACAAAAGACCATCTCCAGTGTGCCGTGGAGCAAGAAACAATTCCACCATCAATATTGCTCGATCAGGTGCGGCGCACGCTGGAAACGCCTCTATTCAGGAGGCCTCGAAGAGTTGAAGCTTGGCACTTCATCTCTGTTTATGAAAGAATGAGTACAAGGAATGAGACCATTTGGGAGCTTGCACAGCTGGATTTCAGTATACTGCAAGCTTTGTACTGTGAGGAGCTGAGGGTCTTACTCTGTAAGTGGCTGTATATGATGAAATATGCTTGTATATTGGCAACATTTCAGCTTCTAACCCTAGGTGCAATTTATATTTCGCCACTAAACTCTAAGTCCAGACACAATGCTATGCCCCTTAACTCTTGAAATGGTTTTCATTTCATCCATCCGTCGTACCATTACAATCTGAGGTCATGGTTGTTTGCAGGTGGTGGAAAGAACTGCAACTTCAAGACCATTTGAGCTTCGCACGAGACAGGATGGTGGAGATGCACTTTTGGATGCTAGGAGTTTTATTTGAGCCACAATATTCATATGGACGAATCGTGCTCACAAAGTTCTTTACATTTATATCGATATTCGATGACATTTACGACAGCTACAGTAACTTAGAAGAAAGCAACCTCCTCACCATGGCAATGTAAAAGTATCTATATATCTATGTGGGCTATGATGGTTTTGACAACCAATTTTAATGTGTTGATTGATGCTAATTCTAGAACAACTATCTATTCCTTTTAGGTGGGATGAACAAGCCGCTGAACAGCTCCCAGGTTACATGAAGTTCCTATACAGCAATGTACTCGCTACCATGAAGGCCATCGAAAAAGATTTGGATAGTCAAGGAAACAAGCACGCAGACTATGTAAAAAAGCTAGTAAGTTGATGTCTCATGAACATGTCCAATTCAAGAAAAATAAATCGATAAATACTCGCATAGGATCATTATGTAAGGATGTAACTAGAACTATGGTGCAAAGCACCTGATTCGCATGCAGGAATTGATGCAGAGCCACTTGATGTGTGCACAAGTAGATAAACATGATGAAACCATCAAGACTCTTCATAAATTTGAAATTTGAAATATTTTAACTCATAAACAGTATATTCGATATGTGGTTCATCTTAAATGTTGGCTTTGCTTCACGAGACCTGTAAAACAAATATCATGATATTTATTGTCTTAAAGTTAACCCCTATACCTATGAAGCTTCTGTATTCTTAATGTCGGCTCGTTAAAAAATCTGATATGCGAAAGAAATATGTGTATATGTATGCAGGAAATCAACTTCTCCATGAGAAATAAATATATCATTGTACTTGTGCAGCTAATCGATGCTACGAAATGCTACTACAATGAGACGAAATGGCGTGAGGAAAGCGACACACTAGTCACTGTGGATGAGCACCTACGATTCTCAGTGCCTAGCTCTTGCTGCATGCATGTTGCATGCCTTGCCTTCGTTGTCATAGGAGTGAGCAGAGACACCATTGAGTGGGGCATGACCTATCCCAAAATCATGCAAGCTTCTTGCATCATCGGTCGTGTTATGAATGATGTGGCTTCACATGAGGTTACATACTTACAACTGAAATATATGTCATATTTTATTTTATTTGCAGTTCCCATTTCATTGATAAGTTTTTGATCCTTGTAGTTTTGTAGCTCATCGCTATTATTTGGCACCGAGTATTATGCGAAAGTATAATAAATCTTAGTTGCGTGCATCATCATCGATCTCTATGCCAATTAAAAGCCAATTAAGTAAACTGAAGTAATCCCTCCATTCTGAAATAGTATCTAAGACTCTAAACATGAATATGTATATGTTGTTATAAATTATAAACTTACTGAACTTTGAAATATTTTACATCGTAACTCTAATGATATTTCATATATAACGACGGTCCCAATCAGGGAAGTTTGGCAAAATATTTTCTAGAACGCCATCTAGTTTGGAACGAGGGTAATAGTTCGCTGGCCATGCAAACCGCTTGCCATAAAATATAGATTAACTAACAGAAAAGTTATCTAACTCGACTAGGATACCCCGGTCTCTGCCTCAATTGATAAAAAAGTTATTCAACTGATATATTGATGGTCGTAGCCATATTAATAGAAGGGTGTGATTACTTTGTTAATATGACCCTCTACTTTCTCTCAAAAATCAGAGAGAACAAGAGCAGTGCTCCAGCGAGAGGAATGTGATGTCAACAGTGGAAGCGTGCATGGAGGAGAACAACTACACTAAGGAAGAGGCAGTGGCGGACCCAGAAACAAAATACAGGGTGTGCACACTTCAAAAAATCAACATATATTTTCATTGGCTTGAATGGGCCTTAAAAATCAACTAATTATTACATGGTAAAAGAACATTTTTTAAAATTCTGGGTGTGCCATGGCACACCTGGCACACCCCCTAGGTACGCCACTGGGAAGAGGCATACAGAAAGCTCAAGGAGCTCATAGAGGAGTCATGGATAGACATCATTGAGGAGCACCTCAAGGAAGCTGTCGGGCGGCCGACAACACCGGTCCTAGAGGCCGTGTTGAATTCGACACGCATGTTGGACTTCTTGTACAAGGATAAAGATGCATACACTGATCCTCGGGCTCTCAAAGTGGTAGTAGATTCTATATATGTAAATCATATATAGAGAAAATATTAAATTTTCTATGCTAATAATCAAGCTATGATACACATGTAACTCATTACTCATGTATCATATAAACTTTTGTATCCACAAGAAAAACATGAGAAATTTCTTCCTATGTTCAAGCAGTATGATAATCAAGTGATTCGATCAATTGGGGTTTAGCAAGTAGTATCTAAACTAGACATGCATCACACCAGCCACTAATTTGCATCTGCATCTGGAGAAGCCGCTGTCGGCTAGCTAGCAACATATAGGAGTTACTCTCCTAGCCTTGTCGAGCCTGTCGATACCTGTGCATTATATTGTACTAGGACCACTGTTTGTAGTGCCTTAGATTTGAACATTTCTTGATACTCAGTAGATTCTCGGTGCTTTAACTTTTATAGTGTCATGATGTACTCTTCGACACATATGTTATCAAATGTTTATCATTGGATGTTAGCCGGCTGACCGAGGAAAAGAAAAAGAGCCGCCTCCTCCACCATTTGATGCATCTCTATTCATCACAACAAAAAGTGTTGTAGAGTGTCTGGCCATGCAACAAATCATTATGTGATGCAATAAATTATCATTTTTGAAACAAAAATGTTGAAAATGTGTCACAATACCTGCAACATGAAAAATCTATGTATGCAATATATGAAAACACTGGCAAAGACAAATAAATACATTTGTATTAAGAGAAAATCCTCAGGAAGCATAAATCCGGAATATTAGTGACATGTAAGCAACATTGTAGGGATACTCATGAGTAGACAACAAACACCATACACATTTGCAACATTGAGATTTCACTGACCTCTCATCTATCTATTATATACTTAAGACAAAAGGCAAACAAGCCGTCACAATTGTCCACACAGATTAAATTATCAGAACCATTAAGATTAGATATAAACGGCTCAGATTTAAAAATGTAACGTTACATACCAATATTATGTACATGCATTCTTTTTTATATATTATGTCTGCCACGTACATGTTCTATATTATGAAAAAGTGCAACCACAATCGTGTGGGAGAACGAAACCTACAAGGCGTGCAATACCATCATCACGTGGATAAATAAGACAAAAGGCAAACACGCCGTCACATTTGTCCACACAAATTAAATTATCAGAACCATTAAGATTAGATATAAATGGCTCAGATTTAAAGATGTAACGTTACATATAAATATTATGTACATGCATTCTTTTTCATATATTATGTCTGCCACGTACATGTTCTATATTATGGAAAAGTGCAACCACAATCGTGTGGGAGAAGGACACCTACAAGGCGTGCAATACCATCATCACGTAGATAAGTCATCTATTCCGATTTGATTTCTAATAGAACAAAAAGTAGAAATTACCAGGAACGATTAACATGGGCCAAGATGCATGGCACCTATATCGACCCAGTTGCCAAAAAATAAAATGCATGCACGTGTTAGTATCTCATCCGATACAAGCACGGCAAAGCAATTGTATTCTGGCTGGCATTATCCGATTGATGTCACATCAATGTCAACCAAACTAAAAGCGATACTATAACTAGGAGTTCATTGCGGTGCTGTGTTGGTGGCCTTCATGCAATCCCTCTAGATCTCCTAATCATTTTTTAACACTCAAATTATGTGATGCCCCCGATTCAATCATACACTAATCATGCACGTAAACGTGTACGATCAAGATCAGGAACTCACGGAAAGATATCACAACACAACTCTAAAAGTAAAATAAGTCATACAAGCATCATATTATATGTCAGGGGCCTCGAGGGCTCGAATACAAGTGCTCGAACATAAATGAGTTTGCGGAAGCAACAATATCTGAGTACAGGCATAAGACAAACATGTTGCCATAAGGTGGCTAGCACAAACTAGAATACAGATCGAAAGAGGCGCGAGCCTCCTGCCTGGAATCCTCCTAAACTACTCCTGGTCGTTGGCGGCTGAACATAGTAGTAGGCACCCTCGGTGTAGGGGGGCCGTCATCGCCAGTGGCGTCTGGCTCCTGGGCTCCAGCATCTGATTGCGACATCCGAGAAAAAGAGGAAAAGGGGGAAAAGAGGGAGCAAAGCAACCGTGAGTACTCATCTAAAATACTCGCAAGTAAGGATCTACACTACATATGCATGGTTATCTGTGTAAAGGGGCAATATCGATGGACTGAACTACAGAATACCAAAATAAAAAGGGGATAGTTAGTCCTATCGAAGACTACACTTCTGGCAGCCTCCATCTTGAAGCATATAAAGAAGAGTAGATGATAAGTTCACCAGTATCATCGCATAGCATAATCCTACCCGGCGATCCTCTCCTCGTCGCCCTGTGAGAGAGCGATCACCGGGTTGTATCTGGCACTTGAAAGGGTGTGTTTTATTAAGTATTCGGTTCTAGTCGTCATAAGGTCGAAATACAACTCTGGATCGTCCTGTTACCATGGACACAGCTATTCGAATAAATCAACTTCCTTGCAGGGGTGCACCATATTACCCGACACGTTTGATCCCTCTAGTCAGGCACACTTTCCTGGGTCATGTCCAGCCTCGGGAGATTAACACATCGCAACCCTACCTAGGACTAACAGAGAGATCAACACGCCGGCCTAAATCCTATGCGCGCATAGGTCTGGGCCCATCTCCCATTGCACACCTGCATGTTGCAAACACGGCCGTTGAGCAGACCTAGCAACCTCCATTACAAAGGAAGTTGCGTTACGCAGTCCAACCCGGCGCGCGCTGCTCAGTCGCTAACGTCTAAGAGGCTTCGGCTCATACCACGACGCCGATTGCCCATATCTTATCCCACGTGGCGGTTAGTGCATATAAGGTCAACGACCCAACTCAGATCAAATACCAAGATCTCGTTAAGTGTGCCATTATGAAGTAACCACGGACGCCAACCAGGATCAGGCTCACCTATCTCCTAGGTGGTCACAACCTGCCCTATCGCTCCGCCTCAAAGTAATACTCGGAAGCCGTCGGGAACCCAGTTCCACTGATGTCCCACAAGTGTAGGGGATCTATCGTAGTCCTTTCGATAAGTAAGAGTGTCGAACCCAACAAGGAGCAAAAGGAAATGATAAGCGGTTTTCAGTAAGGTTTTCTCTGCAAGCACTGAAATTATAGATAATAGATAGTTTTGTGATAAGATAAATAGTAACGAGCAACAAGTAAATAAAGTAAATAAAGTGCTGCAGGGTGGCTCAATCCTTTATGTAGCAAAGGATAAGCCTGGACAATTTCTAATAATGAGAAAGGAGCTCCCGAGGACACATTGAGAATTATCGTCAAGCTAGTTTTCATCACGTTCATATGATTCACGTTCAGTACTTTGATAATTTGATATGTGGGTGGATCGGTACTTGGGTACTGTCCTTACTTGGACATGCATCCCACTTATGATTAATCCCTATTGCAAGCGTACGCAACTACAAAAGAAGTATTAAGGTAAACCTAACCACAACATTAAACATATGGATCCATATCAGCCCCTAACGAAGCAACGCATAAACTAGGGTTTAAGCTTCTGTCCCTCTAGCAACCCATCATCTACTTATTACTTCCCCATGCCTTCCTCTAGGCCCAAATAATGGTGAAGTGTCATGTAGTCGACGTTCACATAACACCACTAGAGGAAAAGACAACATACATCTCATCAAAATATCGAACGAATACCAAATTCACATGACTACTAATAGGAAGACTTCACCCATGTCCTCAGGAACAAACGTAACTACTCACAAAGCATATTCATGTTCATAATCAGAGGAGTAATAATATGCATAAAGGATCTGAACATATGATCTTCCACCAAGTAAACCAATTAGCATCAACTACAAGGAGTAATCAACACTACTAGCAACCCACGGGTACCAATTTGTGGTTTTGATACAAGATTGGATACAAGAGATGAACTAGGGTTTTGAGAGGAGATGGTGCTGGTGAAGATGTTGATGGAGATTGAGACCCTCTCGATGAGAGGATTGTTAGTGATGACGTTGGTGATGATTTCCCCCTCCCGGAGGGAAGTGTCCCCGGTAGAACAGCTCCGCCAGAGCCCTAGATTGATTCCGCCAAGGTTCCGCCTCGTGGCGGCGGAGTTTCATCCCGTAAGCTTGCCCCTAATTTTTTTTCCAGGGTAAAAATGATGATATAGCAAAAGATGAACGCTAGAGGCCCACCAGGGGGCGCGCCCTATAGGGGGGGGGCGCCCCCAGTCTCCTGGACAGGGTGTGGGCCCCCTGGCCTATTTCTTTCACTCATAAATTCTTATAAATTCCAAAAAGTTGTTTCGTGGAGTTTCAGGACTTTTGGAGTTGTGCAGAATAGGTTTCCAACATTTGCTCCTTTTCCAGCCAGAATTTCAGTTGCCGGCATTCCCCCTCTTCATGGTAAACCTTGTAAAATAAGAGAGAATAGCCATAAGTAATGAGATATAATGTGTAATAACATCCCATAATGCAATAAATATTGGTATAAAAGCATGATGCAAAATGGACGTATGAACTCCCCCAAGCTTAGACCTCACTTGTCCTCAAGCGGAAGCCGAAATCGAAAAATATGTCCACATGTTTAGAGATAGAGGTGTCGATAAAAATAAAATACGGACATGAGGGCATCATGATCATTCTAATAACAGCAACATATATATATATATATATATATATTGTCATATGATTTTCTATGCTCAACTAACAAGCAATTAACAATGTTAAATATGGTTCAAAAATTTCATTGGGAACTAACAAACTATAATCTCAGTCATTGAAGCAATTGCAATTTATCGTAACATCAGAAAGAGTCAATAAAAGAGCTTTTCAGCAAGCTCACATACTCAACTATCATATAGTCTTCTACAATTTCTAACACTCACGCAATACTTGTGGTTATAGAGTTTCAGCCGGACACTGAGAAAGATAGGGGCTTATTGTGTTGCCTCCCAACGTATTCACCTTTAGGTGATGTTAACAATAATAGCACATGATAACAAACATCCAATTGGATATATG